TCGCTCAGCCAGTGAGCGGGAACCGGTCTGTATGTGGGATCCGAACCCTCGGCGGGAGTGCCACCGCTCCCAAGCGGCGCACTGTAGCAGTGCGCCACCGGGCCGGCCCCGGCTGACATTTCTTGATGGAAAAAGCAGTGCGGATAGGACTGGCCCTTGCAGCAGATGTGCATGAAGAAGCCCTTACAAACAGTTGCTCCTTCCAGGGACAGAACTGGGTGGTGTAAAACACACTCGCAGGCGTGGGGCAGAGGTAGGCCTGGTTCTGAGGACTGGCCCCAGTGGGTGACGCTCGTGAGCAGGGAGTGGGCCTGGAAGAGACCATCGCTTTAATTGAGACATTACCTGCCCACCTTCTGCAGTCTCCTCCAGGTTCTGTCCCTCTGCAAGGTTACAAAGAGCAAAACCTGCCCTTTGGTGGATGGCATCATCTGAGAGCAAAGAGCCTTGTCCTGATCTTGTGGACTCCACAGAAACGCTGTCGCAGAAGCGGCGTGTACCCTCGCGTCCTCTTCCTTCAGAGGGACCCTGACTGTACTGTTGGTTTGATGTATCTTCCTGTGTCTTTTGTAAAACCGCAGGTGCAATGTCATTAGCTGTGCTGCTCAGTGTCCTCTAGATAGAGCTACGTTTTGGCTTCAGGTTTGTTCCAAGGGACAGACAACATCCTTCCTTATCTTTTTCTTCTGCTTTTGCCTGTGCTTCCTGGACCCAGAGCCTGGGTTTATGCTCTGTTGCTGTAAGTGGCATATCTCAGGCGTCTTATGGCTTATGTTAGGTGGAACCTGGGCCTTCTGGTCCAAATCCTGCCTTTGCTGCCTACGTAGCTGTGTGACCTGGGGTCACGTGGCTTCTCTCTGTCTCAGTTTCTGCTTCTGTGGACTGGGAATAATGACACTGCTGATCCGCTAGTTTGGAAGTATGTAAAGTGCAGAACGCTGAGCCTGGTACGTAGTGAGCACTCACTGAAGGTGTCCTGCAGTCTTTACCTGGCTTATAGGGACTGGTATTGGGAAACCCTTCACGTTCTCCTGGAAACAGGCAGGCACCATCTTCAATAAAATTAGCAAAATCTTCTGGCTGGATAAAATATTGGAAGAGGCTTACATCTGCATATTCATTTGCATATGTCTGCATATGGAACATTTTAGCACCTGTTTTGCATTCAGAATGACTGCTCTCCTGGGAGTCAGAGAGCACGTGCTTCTCATGAGTGTCTTTGGAGAATCCCACTGAGGACCCACGGCAGAGAAGAGTCACCCCTGGGGAGAAGTTAACTCTCAACCCCCACTCATGGCTCCCCCACCTGCCTTGTGGACTTTTCAGGAGATGGTCTCCCTTCACCCCCAGACCATTCTTGCACCCCTCTCCTTGCTGCTATGGGCTCAGAATGCAAAGTAGTGTTATGAAAGTGCAAATATTTCCAAGATAAACACAAAATAACTGCAGCAGATGCCGGGAGCTTTACCTGCAGTACGTCCCATCTTGAGAGCCTCTGAGGCTCTCTGGGTTGCTTGGGTGGTCAGTGGCAGAGTGTTACTCCAGGTTTCTGGCTTCTGGCCTCCAAATGCTTTGCAGAGCCACACCAAATGGATGCAGTTGTTTGACTGGCCACCAGTCAGTGGTCACAATACCTGAGAGCTGATGGTCAAGGCTGATTAGCTGGAGCTGTAAGGCAGGAAGGCTCTGGAAATGCAGGGTCTGAGGAGGGTGGGGGTATCCTCGAGGCTCCCAAAAGTCTTGGTTTGCTCGACTGTGCCTGACCTGGCCCCCAGTGTTCTCTCTGGCTGCCTCCTCTAGGTATGCACGGCCTTCACTGCCGAGTACGCCAAGCAGGGGCACGTCAAGATGCACCACGGCTACACCAACGTGGTGGGCCTGGGGGACTCAAGCACGTGGAGGCTGCCTTGCCTCAACCGCTATGTCTACATGTTCCTTGCTCCTCTCTCACTCCCCATCGTAACCCCGCTGGTGGCAGTCGGTAAGTACTGTGAGGACCTGGGTCCAAGTGCCCTGCAAAGACCTGGTTCCCCCACCCCGCCTTTCCTTCCCCTCCTGGCTTTGTGGAGGCTGCTTGTGTAGGAAGCCAGGAGCCCCGAGTTAATACCAGACAGAGAATTTCCAAGACAGGCAGGCAGGGTGGAAAGAGCCTTGGACTTGGGGCCAAGTCCGGCTCTGCCACTTACTGGCTGGTGACCATGGGCAGGTAACTTAACCTCTCTGAGCCTCAGTTTCCTTAGCTGCTCCTCAAGGATGGTGTGAAAGCATAATGTGGTCACAAATGTAAAAATATAGACACTTTGGGCCGGCCCGGTGGCGCACTTGGTAGAGTGCGGTGCTCCCGCCGAGGGTTCAGATCCCATATAGAGACCGGTCCGCTCACTGGTTGAGCGTGGTACGGGCGCGACACCAAGGGTTGCCATCCCGTTACCGGTCATGAAAAAAGACAAAAAGGAAAAAAAAATATATAGACACTTTGTACAAATTATATTGCATGGAATATACAGGGGCTATGGGGCAGCTAGATCTGGGTTCAAATCCCAGGTCTTGACTGTGGTCAGGTTGCCTAATGTCTGTTTCCTTGTGCATGCAGTGGGTGAACCGCTCTTCAGGGCTGTCGTGTGGATTAGTTGAACACACCTAGAGCATCCTCCGCCTTAGGCCGTTGAGCCAGCAGGGAGCCAGCTCTTGATGGACGTAAACCTTGCCCTCCCCTCACTCTATTTCCTGCCCTTTTGCAGAGCGGCTGAGGAAGGTGGAGCTCAGGACAGCGCTGCGGACACTGGCCCTGATTTCCCTGGGCCTTTATTCTCACTACTGGCTGCTCCTGAACGTGTCAGGCTTCAAGAGCCCCCGCTCGGCCCTGGTCTGTATGTTCCTCACCAGATCCCTGCTGGCCCACCCTTACCTCCATGTCAACATCTTCCAGGTGAGGCCTTCCCCAGCCTGGGTGCTGGGTGGCTAAGGGGAACATTCTCCAGGGTGCCTGGCTGCAGGCTGGACTCTGGTTCTGGGCGAGAGAGAGGCCACCCGAGGAGGCGCCCTCCCCTCCCGGCCACCCTCTCACTCTGTGGGCCCTCCCAGCGAGTTTTGGTCTCGGGTAAGGAATTTGCTTCTCAGCACTGGCTGGCACGCTCTTATCCACGTGTGGATGCCCAAGCGAAGTGATGGCAGATGAAGGAGCTGGGGGTGGGAGGGCTTCGTGGGGGGCCTGGCATTCGATTCCAGTCCATTTGCATAGGGACGCCTCCCCGCTCCCTGACCAGTGGAGGCCCCGGTTTGGGACATCCCGTACTGCACTGTGTCGGCGCTCACCACCACTGCCCTTAATTGCTGCTCCTGCAGTTATGTCCCGTCTGCTGGCCCCGTGTGAACAGAAGCTCCTGTTCACGTCTGAGTTCCTAGACCTAGGTCAGCACCTGGCAGAGGCGGCACTTGTGCATCCTGTACAAGAGGATGTGCAAACTTGATCTTGAACAATGAGAGGGACTTTGACTAGTGAGGTGGGCAGGAAAGGTCTCTCCAGGATGAGGCAAAGGCAGTGCCGTGACAGTGAGTGGAGGGGAGCCTCGGGCACTAGAGTACCATGGGGTCCAAGAGGGGCCCAAGCCAAGCTCCTCATTGTACAGATGGGGAGAGAGGCCCAGAGATGGGTGAGACTCGGGGCAGGGCACAGACAGGGTGGGTCAGGAGCCCCAGCTTCCTCACACCTCTACCAGGTCCCACCTGAGTGGGGGTGGGAGGCAGAAAACCCCACCCGGGTCCCTGAGTGCTCAGTGAGGACGCCTGGGACAGGGTGGGGAAGTCCAGGGCTCAGGGCCCAGCCCCAGGGTGTGACCCATGTGTCTGTCACAGCACATCGGGCTGCCCATGTTCTCTCGCGACACCAAGCCCCGACGGATTCACATGATGAGCCTGGGGGTGCTTAACCTGCCGCGGCTGCCCGTGCTGGACTGGGCGTTTGGCCACTCACTCATCAGCTGCCACGTGGAGCACCACCTCTTCCCCAAGCTCTCCGACAACATGTGCCTGAAGGTAGATGAGGGCTGGGGTGAAGGGACTGAGGGCAGAGAGGGGTAACCTCCAGGGGTCACTTGAACTCATTTCCCCAGCTGGCCTGGTCAGAGGCCACCCAGGAAGGGCAGCCCAGTCTACAGGCAGCAGCATAGGTTTCAGGTCTGGGACACCTGGGTTTCTTACTAGCAGTGTGACTCTGGACAAGTTAATTCTACACCTCTGAGCCTCAGTTTCCCCTTCTGTAAAACAACAGTAAGTAGTGCTTACATTGACAGGCTTTGGGGATCAATGAAGAAATAGATCTGAAATGCTTGGCACACAGTAGGTGCTTGATAAAAGGGAGCTGTGGTTTTCATCTCCCTGTGCCAGGGAGGGCGGCCATGCAGTTGGAAGCCCTGGGGGAGGGTGTTGGGGAGAAGCCCTCCTTCCCTTGTCTGTTCAAGGTGGGGTTGGGGGAGGCAGGGATTGTCCAACACCTCAGCACCTCAGCTCCTCCAGGGCTTCATGGAACAATGTAGATAGGAGCTGGGGCTGGGAAGAGGACAGGCCCCCGTGGGATGGAAGGGCCTACCTGCAGTCCGGGCCCACAGGCCCCTCCTCCTGCCCATCTTCCATCAGGTGAAGCCCGTGGTGTCCCGGTTCTTCCATGAAAAGCAGCTGCCATACAATGAGGACTCGTACCTGTCTCGCTTACGTCTGTTTCTCAGTCACTACGAGGAGTTAATGGTGCAGGCCCCGCCGATCACAGAGCTTGTGGGGCTGCAATGAGGGCCAGGCCGGTACAGCCTCTGCTGCTCCCCCTGCTGCTGCAGGCCCAGTGGGTGTGGCTCAGTGGCTGGCAGGGGACGTGGAGCTGTGGAGGCATCGGGCGGGTGGCGAGGCAGGGGAGCTCATGCCTGGGGTCCTGGGGTCACCTTCCCTGGGCTTCTCTGGGTTTTGAGGAGTGTCTGGGGGAAAGGAATCACGGTGGCTGGGCATTCTGGCCAGTCTGGACCTCAGCCAAACAGCTCTCTCTGCTCCTGCCCCATCTGAGCTTTGGTGGGGCTATGTGGAGGGGGGTGACAGAGGGATCCTGAGTAGAGACTACTTGGGAGACAGGAGGGGACACAGAGAGAGAAGGATCAGCACCCTTGGCCAGGGCCTCCCTGGTACCAGGAGAGCCCCACACTTGGTTGGCCTCTGCTTCTTCCTGTACTCTTTGCAGCTCTGCCCACCAAGATGCCCTCTCCCCAGGGACCACAGGGCGAGCTTACCTTTGGCAGACCTTCCTAGTTCTTGGCCAAATACGCCTGTGCAACACACTGGCTCAGCAGGTCCCAAGGCCCACCATATTAGTGAGATAAAAGTGAGTGTGTTCTGTGGGGAGAGCACTCCAGGAGAAATGACCCTCAGGGACAGAGTTGGGAAAAGGGTATAAATAGCTTTGAGCATGACCTTGACTAGCTCCAAGAGAAGGTCTGATTTGGTCCATGATATTTACAAGCAGTGAACCTGGGAGAATTAGCCACTGGGTTAGAGAAGAATTAGGGAGGTAGTTGAGGCTAGAGGATGTTATTTGACAGGGTTTGGAGGACAGATGGCCTTAGAGAGGAGAGGAGGGAGGGAGGGGTGAAGATGGGAGAGCTGGACGTTAAGGGCTGGGCTTGGCTGTGAAAGGATGGTCTGCAGGCCGGGAGTGAGGTGGGAATATGAAGGGATTACTGATGCCAGCAGAGGAAGAGGCCAAGGTGCTGGGGGACACCACTGAGATTCAGCTCACAGAGGTCACAGTTGAGAGAGGCCTGGGGGCTGGACTGAAGGGATGCAAGGAAGTGGCCAGGTGGAGGCTGAGGGAGGGACAGAGAAGGAGCCTGACCTATGAAAGGAGGCCTAGCAGTTAGTTTAAAACAGTGTTTCTCACATCAGCACTACTGACACCTTAGGTGGATAATTCTTTGCTGTTGGGGGCTGTGTCCAGTGCATTGCGGGATGTTCAACAGATCCCTGGCTTCTACCTATGAGATGCTGGGATCCCAATCTGTGACAATCAAAAATTTCTCCAGACCTTGCAAAATGTTCCCTGGAGGATAAAATCGTCCCTGGTCGAGAACATGCAAGTCATGTTTTGAGTGCATAGTTGCCTTGTTTTTCAGTTAAGTCCTTGGGTGGGGTGAAGGGCGGGCTGACCCTGATGTTGGGGAGGCTAAATGCCAGCAATGGGAGCCTGCGGGATGGGCAGAGGAGTCAGATGGCAGGAGAAGCATTCTCTGAGCCGGTCCTGTTGGAAGGCCACACCAGAGATGGGCTTTAAGCAGCAGCAGACCTCCTTCCATCCCCAACTTGTCTCCACTCTGCCGCACTCTACCAAAGGCCACCGTGGCTCCTTCAGGCGCCCTATCGTACAGCTACAGTTCTGAGATGGCTTGTGCTCCTGCAGGGCCTAAGGGTGGTAGCGGCTTCCAGCTTTTGCTAGCCTGGGGGAGCGTCTTCATTCCCTTTACCCTGCTCACACCTCTGTACAAAGTTCCTTCATTAAAGTCTCTGTGATCACCCCTTTGAGTGTGCCATCTGTTCCCTGCTGTGAGGCTGATTGATAGAGCACAGTTTTGGATCCAAGCAGCCCTTTTGAAATAAGGCAGGCTTGGCAGCCTCCCCAGCCTAGTTTTGCTGTATGTTATTGCCACTCTTTTGAAATGCATTAGCAGCTCAGAAATGGCCTTAAGGTCTGGGAGTGTGATTAATCAAGCTGCTAATTCTCCATATGAAAAATGCAGTGTCAGAAAAGGCCCCAGTTGCATAGCCCTTGCTAATGATTAAATCCATCTAAATACATAAGCAATGACTCACTGTTAGTGACTGGGTCTGAGTGGGGTATGGGTAGCAGCTGGGTACCAGAGCGGGCTGTATCGTGGGCACCCCAGGAACAAGTCACTTGATGGCTTTGAGGCTCCATTTTCTGTTACTGAGGATATGGACTGGGAATGCCTGGTGCTTGAGAGGTGAGGGGAAGTGGCAGGTGTAAATGAAGTGCTTCTATGTTCTGCAGAGACCTAAGGTCTAATTTTTTTTTTTCCTTTTTGTCTTTTTTCGTGTCCGGCAACGGATCGCAACCCTCAGTGTCGCCCCCGTACCGGACCGGGACCGGCAACGGGATCGCAACCCTCGGTGTTGCTCCCACACCTCGCTCAGCCAGTGAGCGGGAACCAGTCTGTATGTGGGATCCGAACCCCCCCTCGGCGGGAGCGCCTCCGCTCCCAAGTGGCACACTGTAGCAGTGCGCCACCAGGCCGGCCCTAAGGTCTAATTTATAGAGGTATATGGGAGGTGATAATATTGATATTGACAATAATGGCAAACATTTATTTAGCACTTATGGTATATGTTTTTACCTACATCATCTAATTTTAATCTTTACAACAAATTGGTACTATTTTTTTCTCATGTTACAGATGGTGAAAAAAAGCCTTGGAGAGATTAAATTTCTCAATGTCATATAGCTAGTAAGTGGCGAAAAAGCGATTCAAACCCAGTGTGTTGGATTCCAGAATCCCTGCTCTTAACCACCAGACATAATTCCTCTGGATGGGGAGCCCTTTAGAGCTTTCTGGGGTGTCTGATCCTGAATTTCCAGTTTATCATTAGGACACACTCTTTAAAAGCACCCATTATGTGCTAGGCACTGTGTGAAGCTCTGGGTATATAAGAGCAAATGAAATTGGGCCCCTCTCCCATGGAGTTTACAGCCTAGTGCAGAGGTTGTCAAACTCTGTAAAAGGCCAGGTAGTAAGTATTTTGGGGTTTGTGGACCATATGGTCTTTGTCACAACTACTCAGTTGTGTCATCAAAGCGCAAAAGCAGCCATAGACAATATGGAAGGAAATGCACATGGCTGTATTCCAATAAAACTTTATAGAGGGCTGGCCCGTGGCTCACTCGGGAGAGTGTGGTGCTCATAACACCAAGGCCCGGGTTCGGATCCCTATATAGGGATGACCGGTTTGCTCACTGGCTGAGTGTGGGTGCTGACAACACCGAGTCAAGGGTTAAGATCCCCTCACCTCACTGGTCATCTTTTTAAAAAAAAAGAAGAAAAAAAAAAAAAAACTTTATAGAAACTGAAATTTGTAGTTCACGTAATTTTCACGTGTCACAAAATATTCCGTAACATATATTTTTTACCATTAAAAATGTAAACGGGCCGGCCCGGTGG